ACACAAGGAAATAATTAAATAGCTAAGTCATGTTTGTTTTATTTTTTAATGATATTTGTTTTAAATGTGTAAAAAAATTTTTTTTAATTAATGTTTTCGATAGTCCAAAGTCAATCATATTTATACACTTCAAATTTTCTTTATTTTTAACTAGAGTACCAAGTAATAGATCAATAATCACCACCACTTTTTTTAATATACAGGGAAAAAAAACATGTATAATTCTAATTTTTATAAATAAATAAATATATATATATAAATAAACATATATGTATATATATAAACAAAACAAACACAAAAATTCATCAGGATCTTAAAAATTAAATTTACATCGCGTTGATTTGTGTTTGTCAGCTATATTCTATTGTATTACTTTAAAAATCAACTAACATCATGCTGTTAAATGAAATTAGTTTTACAATGCAAATTATAGTAGAAAGTTTAAAGTTTAATATACTTTAAATTTTTCTAAAACCTTTTTTAAACTAAAATTCTCCTTTAATATATTATTTACTGTATAATGAAACAAAATCAAGGGAGTCATGGAAATCACAGAAGTCGTGGGAATCATGGAATTCATGGAAGTTGCAAAAGTCATGAAGTTATAGCAGTTGGTAGAGGTCATGGTAAAAGTCATGAAAATAATGAAGATACCAATCCTGTTCAAAGTGACCATGTTTCATTTTTCTCAGAAATAAATTTACAAGGTCAATGTGAAAAAGAATATAAAAAAAATGAAGAGACAAATAAAAAAACATCTAGATACTGCTTTACATGAAGTAAATGATAATTTTCAGATAATTTTTTTTAATATTTTAGTCTTTTATTGGATGGAGAAAAATCATCCAATGATTGATATGGTTACTAATTATCTTGCCTCTTTAAGTGATAATTCTGTAGAAATCATTCACAGCATTATTTGATGACATATGGCTAAGTTTTTCACTGCACAACAACTGAAAAAGGAGGCACGTTTTATTTTTCAGCATCAGAAAGGATAATACTTTTTGACAACATTTCATAGATTCTATGAATTATCCATATACACCAAAGCAATTGCATATGCTTTCCCGAAAGTGTGCTGTATTTGCTTTTAGATGTGTTTACAAAGATATATCAAGCATGAAATCAGCATTTTTTGATTACTAAAACTTCATCTAATGATATTAACCCATACAAATTGCCTTCTTTAGTTTACGAAATAACTGAACAAGAGGCTTTGTTACTTCTAGGAAACCATCTACAAAAATTTTTTGCAATTGCATATATTGTGATTACACTAACTATACTAATTTGAATAATTGCAGTGTACTTGTGTGTGGACATGGTTATCGCAATCATTGTCTACAAAGGTGCCAATCTAAATGTTTGATATCTTCAAGTCGAAATCAAAAAAATTCTCAATGCACTAAAAGAAAGTATGACAAAAAGATTAAATGAAAATGAGTTTATTGAAAATAATGAAAATACAGTTGATGATGATCTGGGTAACGTTTAATCAGCAATAGATGATGCAACAACAATGGAAATTTTATTAGAACATGCAAAAACCCATTTTTTGGGTTGTAAATTCGGTTTTTATTAAATAAATTTGTTGATTTTTTCATACATTGTTCATGTTTTGTCTTAATCGTATATCTTAAATATTGGTTGTGTTTACAATCATTTTGTCAACATTCATTATATTAATTTTATTTCGATTATATTGAGAGATATGGTCAAGAGAAGAGTTAGGAAGAGTGTTGATAAAATTAAAAGAATCATTATGCATTACCATTTAATATTTACTAATAAAAAATTCTGCTGGCAGAATGTCTTTGTATCTGCTACATAGCCATTCTAAAGCTTCTTTGGCTGTTGGTCTCTTTTTATAATCCTTTATCATCAAATTTCTTTCTGCATATTCAATTAATAGTTTTGATTTCACAGAAGTTTCCAATACCAGATGTCCAATGGACCAAATATCAACACTTTTGTCATGATTTCCACTAAAAATTTCAGGTGCATGGCTTCTTCTATCTAGTTGTGTATGATAATAAAATATATGAAACAAAAAAATAACTTAACTGCAGTCAATCCACAATGCAATGCTATAACAAGTTGTTTCTCTGATCTTGGTTTATATTGTATACCTTTAACTTTATCCAAAGAATCAATAAAAGGAAAGAATATACAAAAAGTTATTTTCTATTCATTCCATTTCATTTATTTATTTATATTTTTTACAACTTTAACTAACTTGTGCTTTATGTATTTTTTCATCTTTCATTCTATTTTAAAATCATGTCATGTTCATTAATAACATTTTAACTTACATTGACTATTTCTGATAAATTTTTATACTAATACTTTTTATTTCATTAATAACATTTTAACTTACATTGACTATTTCTGATAAATTTTTATACTAATACTTTTTATTGAAGTCATTTCTGAAGCCATTTATGATGTGCTTATTGAATTTCTTCAGAATGTTTCAAATGTGACAGAAAATAACCAAGTTATCAATCTGGTGCAAGGAAAATTTTTTCTCAGCCGGAAATCAAAACTTTATATCCGACCCTGCTGGCATCAACTTCTTCAACTTGTGTTGAATTGTGAAAGTCCTCGTGTCTATATTGGTGGAACTCCTGGTTGTAGCAAAACATGCTTTGGTGATTTTCTTATTACTGAATTGATCAAGAGAAATCATACAGTTGTCATTCAAACTGTTCGTAATCCAGATACCCTATACATTTGTCAAAATGGAAAAGCTACCCAAGCTGGAAAATCTGCCTCAATAAGAGAATTGGAAAATTTGGACAATTGGTACATCTGTGATGGAGTAAAACCATGTTATGCAAGAGCAAGATCAGTTCTAATTTCTTCCCCTAGGGAGAGTATCAGAAAAGAATTTATGAAATGGGATGATAATGATAGGAAAGATTTGCCAAGCTTACCTGAATGTTTCTATATGCCAACATGGTCTATTGATGAATTAATGGACTGTTGTGAACGATGTTATCCTAATATAAGCATAGACAATCTTCGTTCATTATTTACAAAATGGGGAGGTATTCCTCGATTTATCTTTGCAGTTAATGGGTCAGATGATGCATTTAATAAAGCAATCTCCCGAACAAATTGGCAGTTGGTAGTGGACTATGCTGGCAAAACTGATTGTCCTTTGGAAATTACCCACAAAGTTGTGCACCTTTCTGTCTCAGATGATTTAAAACAATACTATGTCATTTTTGCTTCACCATATGTTTCTCAGTTGATCATGGCTCAACTGTCAAAACAGGAAAGAAGGAAGGTATTACAATGGCTTGGCACATCAGCAGGATCACAAGTGCAAGCATCTTTTCGAGGTTATGTTTTTGAAGGTGTGGTTCATAATGTATTTGACCAAAATTTTCACCCTTTTTTTTAAAATTGATAAGTCGGTTAATCTATACATATAAAGTCACGATAATAATGATAATAATAAACAATAATACCAAGTCGGTCAATTACTTTGGCCCGAGCATAATTAAATTAATATTAACCTTCACGACTAGTTTTTGTTGCACGGATTAACGATGGATGATGTGATAATTGCTGAAGTTTACAAAATGGTGGTAATTTTCAAATTCGTAAACTAAAGTCAGATAATGAAGAACCTGAAGAAGAAACCACATTGAATTTGGCCCTTCTAATGGATTAGAGGTATGAGCTATTGATTTCTTTTTACAAGGGATGCTTGATAATTACTGATGGTTAAAATAATTATATAGATTTTTTTTGATACCAAGGAGCTAAACAAACAAAAAGTATACTATGTTCCATATGCCAAAAATTTTGCAGCTATTGATTCAATTCAATTATTCAATAATGGTCCTGACCATTTGTACCAGTCCACTGTATCTAATCATCACAATGTGAAGAACTCTGTTGGCTCTGTCATTCGCCTCAACAAACAAATAGATTTCTATTTTGTTGTACCAAAGGATGTCTTTCCACGTTTCAAGTATAATCAGAAATTTCTTAATGGAGAAGGTAAACCATATCGCAACCAACCTGAGTGGATGCGCAACATTACACAATTTGCCCTAGAGATAGATTGGGATGCATATATTGCTTTGGGTGAAAATGATGAATAGATTAGTTTTTGTTTTCATAGATAATTTGTATTATGAAAGCTAAGGGCATTAGTTGCTATTGATATCTATTTTTTTTACTATATAATGTTCTTAGAAGTGTGTTACATTTTCTGAAATCTAGGGTTGCTAAATAGCAAAACCAAAACTTGCTGAAAAAAAAAATATATCAAAATAATGATTTGAATTTTATTTGTATATCAATATTAATTATTATATTAATATCAATTGAGTGCTGACTGTATATTGTACCAATTTCTTAAATAGGAATGAACATTGATACATTTAAAAAAAAATTTTTTAAAGGAAAAAATGAGTGCTATGACAAGTTATTCAATTCATTAAATGAATCAATTAGTAGGAAGAAGTACCAATAGAATAACTCAATCAGTTATATTTTTACCAGCTGAAATGAGTTATAAATCAGTGTATAGAGATTTTCTAGCTGATCTGGAAGAAGATAACAAATTGAAATCCTTAAAATATGATGCCTTCAGAAAACTATGACATCAATTAACACCAGAAATTCAAATTATGAGTCCAAGAACTGACTTGTGTGAACTATTTGGTTTTATTTATATTTAGTAATTTGTGGCTATTATGAAAGTATTGAATTGAATTTCATGACTCCAGGACATACTAAATTTAAATGTGACGGTAGTTTTAGTTTGATTAAGAAACTCTATTGAAAAACAAGAGTAGATTGTGTAGATCATGTGTTTGAAGTGGTAAAAAAGTCTAGTCCGGTAGGATTAAATAAATCTCAATGTTATGAAGGTGGAAAGGGTTTTCAATACTTAGGTATCAAATCTATTTTAGGAATTTATTTTAAAAAATTAAATGACCTACAAAAATATCAACATTTTCTTTTTGAAGCATCTAATCTTGGTACAGTGAAAGTTCAAAAAGTTGCTAATGGTTCTTTTGTTGAATTTAATTTATTAAAAATTAGGAGAACAAATACTTTTGAAGAAATTAGAGCTTTATCTATTTTAGTGTTAATACCATCTCCTTTAGATTGCAAAAGACAAGAAGACTTTTATAATAATATTTGCCCATTTGTGAAAGATGAATACAAAGATATTACTTGCCTCAAGCAAGCATAAAATGTAATTGAATAATTTTTATACTAAATAAAAAGGTGTTAGATGTCATAATTAACTTTTATTCTTCCCAATCTTAATTATTTTGATAACTAAAATAACTAGAAGACACAATAGTATTCCACAACCAATCATTCAGTGAGCTTTCTCTCTTTTATTCTTATTAAGTTGGTTTTCTAATTGAGCTCTGGGAGTTTTATTCCACTTTCAATAATAAGCCTCTGGATCTCTTCCTAAAAATTGATTGTTTTTTTGGGGTCTGAATTGCCTTCACCATTTTTGCAATGTGAATCTAGGAAAAAATAATATTAAAAATTCAGAAACAGGGTAAGTTTCACTATATATAACTTGAAGGAATTTCTGCTTCTTTTCTTCATAATTGTGGGGCTTTTCCTTAAGTTCACCAGCAAATGATGTGGATTTCATTTTTTGTATAAGTTCTTGGCAGACTTCTCCAATTTGGTCTCAGGTTTCTTGGTCAACAGCATTGACATTGTTAGGTAAATGATTTTAGTAGAAATGGTTATATTTCCTATTCCAGTGTGTAATCTGGCAACAATTTTATTTTTTCCTGCAACAACAGTATTTTATTTGTTAATAGGAAAAGTTTTTCTGCATCCTCAGCTACTTTTGGGGGAAAACTTTTCCTCAATATGCTTTTGATTCCTACACTTCCATAGCCTTCTTTGTATTTAGGAACCACCCGCATATAAAAATGGCAGCCCATTGTATTATTTATATATTTTGCGTCGTATCACACAAAGAAGATAGAAAAGGAAAGATGCATATGACCAATACCGCCTGTTAGAAGTGGTTATATTTATCTACCACCACTGCTTCCATCATTACCATTTCTCCTCAATATCTACCTACATTTCCTCAATTTGGAATTAACTCAATTACTTTGGCTTTAATGTAAAATGTAATACATCATCAACTGTCTCTAGGATGCGAATAGAAACATATTTCAAATAATTGAAGGGGCAAGTTAAAAAAATTTTTTTTTTGATAAAAGGTAAATTGAAGATACAACTTTATTTAAGATTTTGGGATGGGGGGTTTTTGGATAGGAAATTATGATTGGCTAATTTGAATTTAATTGCAAATTCATTTCACGCACAATAGAATCAAAGAAAAATCGCCGATCAATTATTTCTCTCGTAGCAGATATGTATGGCCATGAAAAAGATTAATCTTTATTTTTATATTTTCATAGGAACTTTATAGACGTTCATGTCAAACCGGCAAAGTATTGTTAGTAATTAATCAATTTGTAAAAATTTGATTTATTTAACTATAATTTATATATATATATAAAACAATATTTACAAATAAAGTTTTGAAAATAAGCTAATATCGATCAAGCAATTATAAAATATTATTCTATTTCTATAAACTCTGGACTGATATTAATTTGAAGATATATTATTAATGTGTATATAGATTATTAAATTTGCAATAAAATGTTACCTTTAATGACTTGTGTTATTAGTAGTAGTATTAATTGTGTTTTATTAATCAACTACTATTTTTTTTTACTGCCACTTCTTTATTATTCTGAACCCTTGCAGACCTTCTAGTGTTATATGATGATGATGATGATGATGATGATGATGATGATGATTTTGCAGATGTAGAAGTGTCGTTATTTTTTTGTCGCTTAACAGCTTTATTTTGGTTGTTGTTTACTTGATTATCATTATCATTATTTCTTGTTCTTTTCCTGGTAGTTCTACCATCTCCACTACCACCATCATTATGATTATTTATTACAATATTATTTTGAACTGATTGATTTGTCATTTCCTTCACTTTCTCCTTTCCCTTCTTCCCCTTTATCTTAATATCATCTTTTCTTTTTGTTATACCATTACTACTACCAGCACTGTTAACACTAGTCTCATCTTCTTCATTCATTTTTCTCTTACCCCTTTTGTTGTTGTTATTACTATTATTATTGCTATTAACAATAATATTATTGTTGTTGTTATTATTACGTTTAATAATAGTATAGGCAGTGCCTGACGGCAAATATTCCAATGCTTGATTTATAGCTCCAACCAAACTACTTTTCTTTTTGGTTTGTTTTAATTTGTCATTTGCTTCTTTTTTTGTGAATGGTTTAAGATTCTTTTCAATGATCCAACCGCTATTATTATTATATACATACATACATACATATATATACACATATAATAAATTAATTATTGATATTGGAATTTATCATTATTAAAAATAATAAAATCAAGAAAGATATCTATTAACATACTAATTTGTTGAACCAAAAAATTTTACACATATGTAATCTTGACCATCAGGTCTCTGTTTAAGAATATTTTCTGGCAGCTCATCTTCTTTTTCAACCTATATGACGCATAAAAATAAAAATTTATGTGTGTTGGTCATTTGTTACTTTACATCTTATGTATAACTCTCTTTTTTATTGATAATACTTACCAACCCAGGCCACCAGGGAAATCCTTTTAATTTAGCAAAAACAATGTTACCTACTTCAAATGCCATTTATATATATATATAGGTGTGTGAGTGTGTGTGCGTGTGTGCGAGTATGAATAACACAAACTTAGATTGAATGCTAACAACTTGATTAAGATATTTTAGGAAATTTGTTGTAACTAGTATTAAGTAAGATTAAAGTTAATAATAATTTTGTTCGACATGAATATTCTTAAAGAGAGAATTATTTGTTGAAGATATTCTGTGATTGATTCTTAAATAATAAATATTAATATATATATTTGATTGATAAAAACCAGCCAGATAAAGCGATTTATGTGGCACAAAGTGATAGCATTGTTAAATGTCACAATTGCAGTAATGTGGTTGTGATGTTAGTGTTTTTTCTCGAGTAATAAAATAGTAAACAAACAACAAGGTTTGATTTTTCACCAGTTATAATCTTCAGATCCTCAGATCATCCCAAAAATGTTGCAAATCTTCAAGCGTTGATACTTTCTATATGCACAATATTCTAGAAAATAATGTAATCTTACTACAGTGCAGACCGTTTATACTCAGTCGAAAAACTTGAAAAACATCATGATCAGCCAGGGTGCGAAATGTGCAAAAATACCGAGGGAATGCCTGTTTTTGGAAAATCTTTATTATCATCGGACCAAAGAACCTAAATAAAAATAAAAATATTCTTTCATAATATCTTTATTCGATTTTGGTTTTTGGTTTTAGCCCTTCACCTCAAAAAAAAATCAAAAAAAAAATAATAATAATAAGCATTTACTTTAATTGAAAAAAAACAGTATATTAATCCACACTTACAGTCAAGCCTCTTTTCAGCGAATTATAATTAAATTCACGTTACAACTAATTTTAAAAAGCTTCATATGTAAAACCATCTAAAATTCGTTGAAACGCGGTTAGTAATTTTGGTATAAACAAACTACTAATAAGAATATGTCAAAAGAAGCTGAATATTTTACTTTCTAACTGGCTGAAAAGGATTTCACAAGATAAAGGTGGTGTAAAAACTGTTATTTTTAATGTAGAAACGTAATTATTTAATGACATATTATAATCACCAATATCCAAACCAATGATTTAGCACTTTAGTTACTCTAAATATAAGAAAATACCCGATCTTGGTGAAATATTATTAAACATTAGATGAGTCTTCACAAATGGATTTTTGTACATAGATTATTATTAATATGCTTGTTAAAAGCTACAAACTATGGATAATAAATTAAAGAACATAGTAGCTCCCGTTTAACGGGTTGTCTGTTAATAATATAATTTGTATATGTGTATAGGGTGCTCGCATTAACTTACGCTTACTTTCAAATTGCTAATTGTCACTTTGGGGCCAGTTGTGGGGAAAAATAAGATGGAAAGATCGCATTTCATTGATGCAATTCTTAGAGAAGTGGTATTTTGTTTTGATTATAAATTTTCTGAGTCAACATCATAATGTCTTTGTTTTCGTATTAATGGAAAAGCAGACTTTTAATAAGGCATGGATACATAATAATTTGTATCACCGAGGCAAAAACAACGGAAGTTGAAGGATAACTCTGAATTTTTGTGCAACTATTATACTAATAATACTAATAACTTGCGTGAAAAAAGGTATTTGACGAGATTGAAGATAAATATGAATATGGAATAATTTTATTAAAAAAGAAGTTTAAAAACAAATAACAGTGGCTATAGATTTTATAAGTTGGCTTTTTAACTCAGTTTTAAATAATAATAACAAATTTAATATTATCATCATAAACATGGAATTATGTACCTTTTCCCTATCGCGCAATACAAAGCTTGATGTTAATTAATATATTACTTTTGAACGCTAATTTCCTCGAACTTTCTTTCATCACAACAAATCGATTGTAGATAATTGTCCTTGATGAAAATTACTTTGTGAATGATAATTTTTTACACAGTCTAAAATTTCTCAAATATATTTTTCTAAAAATGTTGGATCACGAAGAATGGAAAATTAAGTTCTACTTGCTCGTTGTTAAGTTTCTGCTTCAATTGTGAGTGATTGTTAAAAAAAAAAGAAGATGCTGCTGCTTGGAGAGAGAGTTGCGGTGGAAGGCTTATACTTTGAATTCTTAACATGACAAAAAGGAGTTTGATGTGTAATTACTTTTCGATGTAATTCTGGTTCTATTGAAGGATATCTCGTATTATATCTTCACTAGGAGCCTCGTATTTATTTATAAATTATGGAAATTACATGAGAATATTAAGCTTTATAAATTTATTTATCGAATTCTCTAAAAAAATTAAGATTGCAAAAGAGTCAATTTGTCAAAAGGAATCACTTGACGTTCAGATATTGGAATAAGTCTACTAGAATTTGTGTTTCTAATTTAATGTCTTTTATGAGAAGAATTATTTCTTAAATGGTTACCAACCGTTGACTTTGTATATGGTCTAGTAAATAATTTTGACCCACCAACATAAAAATTATCTTTTCTTTTACTTGCTGGATGACAGATTTGTCCATTTTTCTAATATTAATACTTAAAGAAGCACAATATCAGTCAATTAAATTGACACGATCCATTTGTATTTCGCATGCAACATTATCATTCCATTTATATTCTTATTAATCCAGTGAACACAGTCAATGTGAGCTGTACTTTTGTTTTGAAATTTCACTCCATCAAAAATGTTCTATTTTTCCTATATCTCGTTTTTCAAAGATCTATTTGTTGGAATTGTAACATATTGATAATGTTACAAATAATGAAAATAATGATCTCCTGTTCTCGTAAACGTTCATTTGTTTTCGGAAATTAAATTAACTCCATTTGATCTTGAATTCCTTCTACTTTTTTGTTGTAAAATCCTTGTATTTTGGCGATTTCTTAATTTTTCAAGTTGCAGGTCGCATCAGAAAAACAGTAACGCATTTTACAAATTGTAGGGGTTAGTTCATAATATAAATACATGATTTTTCTATATTAAACGTTGTAAATATTTCTACTATGTCCTGATGGCCATTAATGATCTCGACGAACCTTGGATCAAACAAAATAATCATGTGTTTTAGCATATTCACCAAATGCTGTATTTTTATTATTAGCTCATCCTTGATTAAATTATGATAACCATCCAGGGGATAAAAAGTGGGGCTCTAAATCTGTATGATTTAGTTGAAATTGGTGACTTTGTATTATTATTCAACTGCACAAAACCATTTAAAAGCCCGTCATCTTCACTGTGGACCTCGTCAGGGAAATTTTAATTATGTTTCTAGGCAAATAAAGAGGAGCTAATTCATCGTCAGAAATATGAATGGCTGTTGGATGTTTCATTGATCTTATTTTGCAAAAGAATTAAAGCTTGTTTTGGGAAGCTTCGTAGATAGGAGTCTATTTTCTTTACTAACTAATTTATAGCAATCTTTAAATTTTCACCAAAAAATCAATTAATCAGCAACATGATTACTATTGGAAGACGCTCTAAAAATGCCTACGATTGATCCAGTATATAATGAAAATGCATATATATTCTGGAATATATGCTGGCGAAAGATATTTTCGTTTGTGTGATGGAAAGGATTCAAATTCAATAAGAGTCAAAGTCTCCTTTTACATGTCCTTGGATTATGACAAGATCTAGATGTTGGGAGTTTATTTACTTTGGTATTTGGATAAAACTCTGGTTGAAATTTTTCAAAAGCTTCTTCAATTGGACAATTGATTTCTTGATTATAAGGAATCTAATAATTTAGCGCAGAAACACATTTGGTTGCTGTTTTAAAAGTCAGATTAAAACTTTTTGTGTTAAAATCTACGATCCTTCATTCATCTCTACTACGATTGGCTTCAAATATAAATAACTTCACATGTGTTTTTAATTTTTGATAATGTGCCAGTTAAATAAATACTTAAATTTAATTATATATAATTAATATAACTCGTCCATGAATGAAAGAGTCGCCAGTTTTATTAATGTTATTTTTTCCGCTCTTGTAACTTTAAAATTGGTTGTTTTGCTTATTTTGTTTTGATCAACAATCTTTTTTTATTTTTTTAAACGAGAGAAAATTCTTTTTAAAGATTGTAAATAAAAAATTATTATTGATGAAATTTTCTTTTTCCACAAGTAAAATTAATGTTCAAAACAACAGACTGAAGAAGTTTCATTTGATCTTTACACACTTGACCAAATCTTCACTTCTTCAACAAACTTTATAAGATTCCATCTAAAATTTTCTCTCGTCAAAATTATGATATTTCCTTATTTTTCAACAAGCTCAACAACTATACTCAACTCATCCTTAGAAAGGAATGATCAACTTTATCAAAATATTAAACAACTTGAAGATAAAATCAACAACGAAAAACTATCAATTACAAAATTTAAAGAAAAGATTAACCAAGTTACAGCTAATAAATATAATAACTACAAGAATATTGGTATTATGGAATATATGTTGGCGTGTAAACAGCATGAGGCGCTTGAATTACAATTTAAGATCATAGACTTACGCATTGAACGTCAAAATTTGATAAGAAACCACAAAAGGAAAGAGTCTAAAGGTTCTGTCAGATTCAACCCTGTAGTTAAAAATAATATTGAATATTACGAAAAGATGTTCGAGAGATCTGTAAAATTTGCAGAGGAACAAGTTATCACGAATTATGCGAGATACAATTAATAAATTATATTATATATATTTATTTATTTTTATATTTTGCAAGATTATTTGTCTATGATTTTAATAGCTTATTATTGGTTTGGCATTTGATTTTACCGTCATGAATTGTTATTTAATGATAATAATATATATATAATGATTAATTCAACTTATTTATTCGTTACTTTATTTGTTTGGTTTTAGTTTTCGATGTGATAATAATGCACAACTTGATTGATAGATAACAAAAAAATTTTTTTTTGCTGGAAATTATTTGTTATGTTGTTGTTTTGTTTATGAAGTGAGAAACATATTATATAAATAATAAATGATAACTAATTTTCTGGATATTGACCGACTAGCGTTTACGACACCTTGCAAAATACAAAAATTCATAATAAAAAAATAGTTTAACTATGATAAATTTTATCTAATTATCCCCCTGTATATCTTATTATTTTTAGATACAAGTAAAAATAGGTGATGATGATGATGGTGATAGTAATGATGATAACGTTGTTTGATTTCCATAATGTTTGTAAGTCTTCTAATCTCGCTATAATAAAGGAATAAATGTAGGTAAACCATAATTAAACCATCAAGCATCAATGATAAAGCGTTGATTAACAGCCATCAAATTCAATCCCAAGGAACAACAATTAAGACTAGCCAAAAATATTTTGATTGAACCATCAGTTTATCACTTCTTCTCATCTATGTCTTTGGACTTTACCATCCAATCTAATAAATTTAAATCCATAAAGATTCCATCAAATCTAAAAATAATGTCCATTGGTTATGGTTATGAATCTAAATGTGAAAACGTGAATTTGAATTTTAAATTTGAATGTGTGTTTGATAATTGCATTAACACATATTACAATATACTTGCTTGAAACTAGCCTGAATACAATAGATTTGGTGCTCGGATCATCCTTGCTTGAAACTATTATATTATTATTATTAAAAATGCATATAGATATGTGAATTGTTAATCAAAATGTGTAAAATATATATCGAAAAAATCCATTAAAGCTTCAATCTTTGAACTTGTAATATAATTACCTTTTGCTTTTTGAAGAATCATTTCTACTACTACCATCATTCTCATCCTTATATTCACTACCATCATCTATAAAAATTATTTTCATGTAAAATATTCTGTTAAACGAACTCTGAAAATTTTTTTTTTGTATGTGACTGCAATTCATTCAGTGAACCTGAACCAAAACAACTAGAGAGGAGCCTGGTCTGCTTGATCACTTTATTTGGTTTATTTTCTGTGCTGAAGCAATAATCACTAATGACGACAGCAACTACTTTGCGTTATCAAGAAAGACGTGCAACTCCTTCACATCATCAAACATGCCTACAATGCATTCAATTCTATACTTCTTATCTCACGGTTGCCAACAAATCTTTGTAGTACCTGGAGAGTTGTTTAAAGGAAAGAACCTCGTACAAACAATTTGCTAAAACCAAATCAAGAATCAAAAAATTACCCGCAAGGAGGTAACGAAAACCGGAGCCTGATAAATTAAGAGAGATGTATCAGCAAGAAACTAGCAACAATAAAATCATCGTCAGCCACATAATCGTGCAAATGCTCATCCTCATCAAAATCCACTACCTCCACCTCCACATCATCAACCTGTTGAAAATGAAAATGAATCACGTAACGAAATATCTGTGTTGATGTATCACAAGAGCAGTGATATTAAACAAAGCAATGATCCAAGTTGTTTCTGTGGGGCATTATTACGTTGCTTATGAAAAAGATTACATTTTCAACTTGATGGTACTAGAAATAATGAATGATTGTGAATTTTTTTTTATAAAAAATATTGGGTAATACGAAATTCTGATTGGTTCATTTGAATTTTGAATTTCACGCGAAAATTGATTGACAAATGGTAAACAAAAAAAACAAACTTCAGCTTGAGAAAATAATATATAGTATTTTGCTTGATCTTACTAATCTGTCAGGAATTAAAGTAACTGCAATAAGCTGTTTATGGACAAATTTTTTTTTAAAAGTTGTGTAAATAACAAACACTCAAAAAATATCAAATTGTTGTTGTTGTTGTTGTTGTTGTTGTTGTTGTTGTTGTTGTTGTTGTTGTTGGTAGTAACTTGAATTACAACTTTTACATTTTTATTTGCCTCGAATTTTTTTTTAAAAATTGTCATCAGAGTATATATTAATATCAGTATCGTTGATAATTGTTATCTATATTAATAATATTATTATTATTGTAATTAATATATATATATGTTGTGCGTGAATTTGAAATTCACGCGCGTGAAACTCAAACTAGCCAATCTGAATTTTGTTTTGTATCCAAACACCACCAAAATCTAATTAATAGTAATAATAATAATAATAATAAATTTCAAATCGACACAAATTTGATTTTGACTCACAACATATTAATATTAAATCCACTTGTAACAAGAAATCCGCTGACGAGGTTTGACTGTAATAGTAATCATATATAAAAAAATTAATAGTAAAAGATGATTAACCGGTTTTTCCGATTATAATTTATTTTGAAAATTTTCAATTTAATAATAGTCGTGTGACATTTCCCTGAGGCTGCTTTTCTATATGTGAAAATAAATTCGAAATTCGTGTCACATGAAGTTTTTTTAAAATATCTCGTGATTTTTATAATAAACTCGAACTTCGTTGTTAGAGTAAAATGAAAGTACTCCATTAAAGCTTTCTAATGAATACTCTTTCATATCAAAAGGTATCCTCTACATGAATTCACGGCTATTCAAAAACGGTATTACTTTTTCACTTCAAACCTCAGATTATTTCTCAATATCGCTTTAAAAGACTTGATAGTAAATGAGAAGGTGTAGAATACTTTAAGCTTTCATATGGTCATTACTTTATGGGGGGTATTGGTTAATAAGTTTTAGAGAGGTTCGCGAAAAACTATTTTATAGAAATTTTAATAGTCATGAAGAATTTATGATGGGATTCAGCAAAAACTAAAAGGTATTTTATCAGTGATTGTTTTATATTTCTGATTTTATATTGATTGAAGTTTCATTAATGATTATTATGAATATCCATCAATTAGTAGTTGTTATAGCAACATTAAACAATAATATGCAAACGATGACAACGAATCATCTTTTTTGAGGATGATAATAAAGATTAAGATCCAGTTTGTATAGGAGTGATTGAAGTAACTAACTAACTTTTATCAATTATTCAATATTTTGTGTTGATGTAATCGAAGTAAGCATTAAGGACAAGATCTATGAATAAAACATACTAACAAACGTTTTATCAACTATTCAATATTTTGTGTAGGAGCGATCGAAGTAAGCATTAAGGACAAGATCTATGAACAAAACATACTAACAAACATTTTATCAATTATTCAATAGTTGTATAGGAGTGATCGAAGTAAGCATTAAGGACAAGATCTATGAACAAAATATACTAACAAATGTTTTATCAACTATTCAATAGTTGTACAGGAGCGATAGAAGTAAGCATTAAGGACAAGATCTATGAACAAAACATACTAACAAATGTTTTATCAACTATTCAATAGTTTGTATAGGAGTGGTTGAAATAAGCAATAAGGACAAGATCTATGAACAAAATATACTAACAAACGTTTTATAAACTATTCAATAGTTGTACAGGAGTGATTGAAGTAAGCATTAAGGACAAGATCTATGAACAAAACATACTAACAAACGTTTTATCAACTATTCAATAGTTTGTGTAGGAGCGATCGAAGTAAGCATTAAGGACAAGATCTATGAACAAAAC